ACAGCCTTGAAGGTGGCCATACTCAGCCTACCATGCTTACTTGTCTTATCTTTAAAATGGACAGAACCTCTTTATCCTGCTGTGAGAAACTTCAATTCACATCAAGTGCTAAGAGCATTGCCTGGCAAAAAGAAATCCCTCAATAATGTCAGTAGCTACTCTTACCACAGACTTATTTATCCACCTTTCTTTGGGCCTAGTGTCTCTGCCTTGACTCAGCCCCCAAACACTTCAATGCTTACAGTCATCTGTCTTCAGTTTTTCTCTCCGCTACACATCCTACACCTACACTTTCTGCCCTCCACACCAACAATATTGTAGAGCCACAGAAGTATCAATTTACAACAAAGTCAGTAGACATACAGTAGAGAAATAACCCCCACAGTATCTGGCACTTGAACATCCTCATTTGGTGTGCTGTTTGGGAAGATTTAGGCAGCACAGCTTTACAGGAGGAAGCCCATGGAGGCAGGGTTCAGGGGTCTTTAGATTAAAAGCCTCCAGACACTTCCAGTTTGTACTCTGCTTTATGTTTATGGTTGAGATGTGTGCTCTCAGCTTTCTGTTCCTGCTACTATGCTTCCCTGACATGATGGACTCTTATCCCTCTGGAACAGTAAGCCTAAATAAACTCTTTCATTAAGTTGCATTGATCATGACATTTCATCACAGGAACAGAAAAGTCACAGTGATTCCACTATAATCCAAATACAGTGTGTCTAGTGTACCCCCAAACACCTGCATTACCTTTGTATCCAATTCCTGAGCCAAGAACTCAACCTTGTTTATCTCTCAACCCCAGAATTTCTGAAAGCTGGATGACCACAGGCGCTTGCTAATACCCAATGAGTGAGTTAAATAACGGACACATATAGAACAGTGCATGGTTTGAAGATTGTGCACCAGTAAGAGCCTCATTCTCATCACGAAAACACTTTCTGGCTATCTGTAAAGCAGTTGAGATAATATGAACAGTTTGCAGTGTCACTCAGGACATTTCTAGAAACATCTGAGCCCCTACCATCCCAGGGCGACACAGACAGCACAGAGGGAAGGAACCCGGGAGGACAGGCAGAGCAGGTGTACCATATGCCTTTCTCTGCAGTGCGGCCCTGTGACTTGGCTCCCATTTTAGTTGAGATATGTTTTTTCTCTTGCAGTGTAATTTCATTTACCCTTCAACACCAAAAACATGAAAAGAAATTAAATAAAATTTTAAAAGGAAATAAAAGCTACTGCGGAAAAGGGCCCTTCTCCACACTCCCCATTCCAATGTCTGCCAAGCCAATTAATACCTCCCAAATGAATGTTATCTCCCTACTATGTTAATGTTATGTTAATAAATGCAATTAAGATAACATTTGGGAAGTGTTAATTGGTTTGGCAGATGAACGTGTACAAGAAGCACACATTCCCTATTTGTGGAGGCAGAAAGTGACACAAAGTTGGACAAAAGGAAACTTAATCTGCCTTCAGTCTCTCTCTCTCTCTCTCTCTCTCTCTCTCTCTCTCTCTCTCTCTCTCTCTCTCTCTCTCTCCTACTCAGTCTTTTTCTGTTACATTACATGAGAAACATTTAAAATGCTGATTTGGATGGGTTTGCAAAGATCAGGAGATTGTCAGATGTTGTAAAAAACAGTGAGATTATCTTTTCCATAAGAAGTAACTACATTGACTCTTAAAATGCTATGTGCCACATATGCTATACACACTGCCTCTGTTTAACTGCATCTATAGCATCTATGCAAATAAGCTATTATACTACTCTAGGAAGCAGATTGTTCCAGAAGCCTAATTTCTAGACTATTTTTAATGTACTTCAGTTTTTGGTTGGGGATTTTTGTTGTTGTTTTAACATATCTGATGATTTGAGAAGTTTCTCTTTTTTTTCTACTTTAACTAACAGAAGAGGGTGACCTTTACATGCTGTGTTAGAAATTATACACACACTCACAACATGGTATGTTACTTTGCAAAACAGTAATGAACCTAAACCTCCATCAATTTGGAAGAATTTTTGCATTATCTTGTATTTATAAGAACATCACACAACCTTAGTCTGACACTAGAACATGCTTGTTAAAAAAAAATGTACTCTATGATCTATAAGTTCAGATCTTGTACACATGTCATCAAGGTGTGTGCTGACCCACTCTCCCCAAAAGTCAAGTGGGGAAAGTTAGGATAAAAGTAGGAAAGGGGTTTCTTGTGTACCATACTGGGATGATGTGGGAAATCAGGAAGGAGTCCTCAGTCTTTTCCACCTGGGGTACTAACAAGGTCCCTTTGTGGGAAGAACCTGGGCATGGGGATAAGATATGTGTGTGGCTAAGCTGTCTTCTTTAAATGTGATCTGGTTGATCACTGTCCCACTGTATAGTTCAACAAGGTCCTTCTTTCTTCTAGTGTAGGGGAAGCTGTGATCACTGAAGTGGGCAATTCAGTTCCAGTGGTGAAGGCTGCTCCAGTTGAGCAGGCAGTCCTGTGATGACATGATCTGCCTGCAAGCCTACTGTCCCTGGAACCCGAAAATACATTAGTTATATACTTATCATACTGGTGTCTACCAGCCTTAGATATGTACCCTTAAATGATCTATGTCTCTGTATATGTTCCCCAAAATATTGTGCACCCTAATAAACTTATCTGGGGTCAGAGAACAGAACAGCCACTAGATATAGAGGCCAGAAAATGGTGGCACACACTCCTTTAATCCTAGCATTCCAGAGGCAGAGTTCCTCCGGATCTCTGTGAGTTCAAAGCCACACTGGAAACAGCTAGGCATGGTAACAAGAGCCTTTAATGCCAGGAAGTGATGGCAGGAAGCAGAAAGGTATTTAAGGCATGAGGACAAGGAACTAGAGCTGGTTAAGCTTTCAGGTTTTCGAGAAGCAGTTGAGCAGAGATTCATTTGGATGAGGACACAAAGGCTTCCAGTCTGAGGAAACAGGATCAGCTGAGGAATTGCGAGACCTTCTAACAATTCATGCTACATCTGTATACAGAGTTGAGCCTAAATTTAAAGGAGTGTTTAAAACAAAACAAAACAAACAAACAAACAAACCAGAGCAAATGAAAGCAAGGGGGCCAAGTTTTTTATCTTGCTTTGAGTTACCCACCAGCCATGTGCAGCCCCAGAACCACAGAGCTTCTCAGCAAAGTATCACTAAGTCCCTGCTATACACAATCTGCCAAGGTTCCTTCCAGTGAGGGAAAATTATTAGTGTCTGCCTCAACCAACTGATGAGAAGTAGTCTGAGACATTATGAGAGATGATGCTCTACCATGACTTCAAACTTGGTGAGCAGTATATGACCTCTCCTTGAAGGCACTCCCTGCTGTGGATTAGATATGTCTTGAATGAGTCCCCTGAAGCACACACTTTGGTATTTAATGTCCATTGTGAGATATGCAGAGGTGGGAAATGGAATATGACCTCGTTATGTGGTGGGGGTGGTGAGAGTTGATTAGGATTAGAAAAGTCCATTAAAGTGCAGCCTCCTTGCCTGAATACTGATGACCATATAAGATGAGGGGGAGGTAAGAAGAGATACACTCACAGCTTTTTGACTCCTGCTAAGAGGTATCTTAAGCTGTCTTGACCTTTTGCCAGATAGATGCCCTTGAACCTGAATGATGTGAGTTAAATGACCCTCTTTTGTTTATAAAGTTACCCATCTTTAGACATTTTGTTACAGTAATGAAAAACTAATACACTATCTGTGATGTATGTAAACTTTTTAAAAAGGGATTTCCAGGGAGTGGAAAGAAGAAGGATAAAAAATGTGAAAAATCATGCTCATTTCAAAATTAAGCATGACTTCATAAGTACTAAAATGTACATCTCAAATTAAAGCATGTAATGATTACCTAGAGAAAAGATAACAGTTAGTAGCCAGTACATAGTCACCAATTTGTTGCCAATGAGCTGTGCTGACCCTGTATAATCAGAGAGAATTTAATAGTCCTTCAGAAATACATGTGCTTTCTATACTAACTGCACAACTGTGCCCTCCTCCAAATGTAGAATGCTGGGACTTTCCACTGTGGGCATTAGTAATTTCTTTTTTTTAGCATAAACAATACAAATATTTTAATTTTCAAATCATGAACTACAGAAGATCAAGTAGCAACTACTGATTTACAAAAAAGTCATTATTAGCATTTAGAAATAATACTTATCTAGAAGTTCAGGTGATTGTGAGTCATTCCACATGGGTGCTGGGATACAACTCAGTTCCTCTGCAGGAGAGCCACAGCTCCAGCTCCATCAATGACATTTCTTTGCTAATGTTACATAACTTCCCAACAATGACTATATAGTAGGTGGTATATAATTTAATAGAGTCATGCCAATTTTACTAACTATAGTTTTTTATTTCAATAGGATCTCAACATATAGATCTTCTGCCTCAGCCTCTGGTGTAATGAGGTTACAGGGATACATCACTAATCAGTAACAAATACTCACTGACAATCTGTCAACCCATACATCTAGGATCATTTGTTCACTAGTAAATTGAATTATTTTCACTGATGTGAAATCGTTTTGCTTGAATTCTTTTTTTTAATCCAAACAAGAAATGTGTAACTTCTAAAAATTAAATTACTTTTACAAATTGCATTCTCTGATTTTCTTGTCAGCTTGCTTTAAAGTTATCCATGTGTTCAATGTGCTGGCTCGAAGTTTGGCCCACACCAAATGGTTATTTAAGCCAAATATCTGAGCAGCAAACTGGGCAGATCCTTCTGGAGAAAGTATAGTTGAACAGCCAAGACCACTGGGCAATTGAAGAGATGACCAGACATCCTGAGCACCCCAGTATGGTGTGATGGGGGCACAGCTGATAACTGGATATGCAGTATTACCAGACATCACTGGGCCCAAACCATTGCTTCTGCCTTCCACTTCGACAAATACAGTTTGTATGCCATCACCTTCATTTCTGCTTTAATCCTTGAAGTTTCATCTGGTCCTTTATGGACAGATGGAGAGCGCTGCTTCTCTTTCCCGCGCAGGATACACCTACATCCCACCTCGGATAATGGCGACAGCTGAGGTACTGAACATTGGGAGAAAACTCTATGAGGGTAAGACAAAAGAGGTCTATGAATTGTTAGGTAATCCAGGAAGAGTCCTCCTGCAGTCCAAAGACCAGATTACAGCAGGAAATGCAGCTAGAAAGAACCACCTGGAAGGCAAAGCCGAAATCTCCAATAAGATCACCAGCTGCATTTTTCAGTTGTTACAGGATGCCAGTATCATAACTGCTTTCAGCAAGAAATATGGAGAGACTTCTTTCATTGCACCCCAATGTGAAATGACTCCAATTGAATGGGTGTGCTGAAGAATAGCAACTGGATCTTTTCTCAAAAGGAATCCTGGTATAAAGGAGGGGTATAAGTTTTACCCACCAAAAGTGGAGATGTTCTTCAAGGATGATGCCAATAATGACCCACAGTGGTCTGAAGAGCAACTCAGCACTGGAAAATTTTGTTTTGCTGGACTTGTTGTAGGCCGGACTGAAGTGGACATCATGAGTCATGCTACACAAGCTATTTTTGAAATACTGGAGAAATCTTGGCTGCCCCAGAACTGTACACTGGTTGATATGAAGATTGAATTTGGTGTTGACGTAACCACCAAAGAGATGGTTCTTGCTGATGTTACTGATAATGATTCCTGGAGACTCTGGCCATCAGATCGGAGCCAGCAGAAAGACAAACAGTCTTACCATGACCTCAAGGAGGTAACTCCAGAAGGACTCCAGATGGTAAAGAAAAACTTTGAGCGGATTCCAGATAGAGTGGAGTTGCTTCTGAAATCTGACAGTCAATGCATGGTCATAGTGCTGATGGGTTCAACTTTGAACCTTGGGCACTGTGAGAAAATTAAGAAGGCTTGTGGAAATTTTGGAATTCCATGTGAACTTCGAGTAACATTAGTAATTTCTTAAGTGATACAAGGATATTACTTTACACTGGCAATCGAATGTTAAATGAAAACTGTTACAAAATACCCTTCTAATATGAATGCATGTGTATGCAAATGTGCTTGCCACTTTACAGTAAAAGAATTATTTAGTTCAAATTCTTTAGTTTTCATAACCCTGATTCCTCTCTCCACACAGCTTGGGTCAAGGAGGCATTCCCCAAATACCCAGTGTTTAGAATGAGTCCATTCAGATTGTTTTGTTCTCTGAAGTGGCAATGATGTCTTCACCCAGATTCCACATAAAGCCTGTTGTGTACTGTTCTGTACTCTTAACAGATATGTTGCTCATGTTGGGCATCTCTCTCCACACAGCTTAGAATGACTCCCCAAAATGGAATCATGCACAAGTCCTCATCCTCTAAGAAGTGAAGTTATACTCATAATTTTTCTTAGTGAAATTGTAGCACCCCGATTTTGTAGCAGGGAGAGAAGACTTTTAATATGTATCTGGAGGACTGAACCTTATCCCTCCAAAGAACACAGCATGAAGCCCTAACCTCAGTAACCAAGGATTTGACTGCTTTGGAAATCAAGCCTTTAAAGAGGTGATTAGATCTGGAGGCAATTGGGCCCAGCCCTAATCTGGTCTGTCCAGAGTCTTTGGAAGGCACACATCCACAGTGTGTGAACATAAACAAGATATAACCAGAGGACACTCCTGGGTAAGCCCAGGAGACAGGCCTCGGGAGAGACCAAAGCTGGCTTCCCCGTGAACTGTCCCCCAACACTCTGAGAAAATACATTTCTGTTGTTGAAGTCACTTCCCACCCTGTGGTATTTTATTGTAACAGCCTTAGTAGACTCATACAGCAAGTGAGTGTTACTGACTAGGCTGGGACTCCAAAAATGACAGCCCTACAAGTGGCACTTTGAAGTAAAGCAATTTAAAGAAGCTGAATTAAAAAGCTGCCACAAGGTCTCACTGACCTGCCCCCATCTCTTTTTAAAGAGCAAGACAGGGCTCTCTTAGTAGCTCCAGAGAGCCACTTGCAAGAAGGAAGCTGAGAACACACCCAGGAGACTGGCAGATTCTGTCCCAGGCAGTCTGCTTTTCAGGCCTATTCACTTTCCACTAAAATAAATAAATAAATAAATAAATAAATAAATAAATAAATAAATAAATAAATAAATAAATAAATAAATGTTTTTTCTCCTTCCATGGGTGCCCTGGCCCGACTTCCCCCCACCTTGAAATGTCAGCCATCTGGCCTTCTTTGAGTTTCACCTCATGTGACTCCCATGTAGCTGCTTAAACATTTATACATGTGTGTCTTTCTTCCTACTCCATCAACACCCATTTTATTTTCTCAGACTCAGCAATCAACTCCCACAGGGAGAATGGCAAGTTCCCTCAGCCCCAGCAACCATTGGAAAAGGATTCTGGCGGCACAAAACATGGCCACAGGAAGTAGAGTGGTAGAGCCCGTGGCCAATATTGCATTGTTGCTTCCGGCTGAAATGAAGTCTGCAAGCCTTGTATTTACCTGCACACGAGAACGAACACAAGAGCACAATGGAGAAAGCTTGCTTTGATTAAAGTTGGTGCACCCTCGCCAGGCTGAACCATGGGGCATCTGCCTAGGTCAGGTATCTCAGCACACACAAGACATCTACCTGAAATCCCACTTTACTTTTAGTTACATTTCACTGAAGTTGATTTGAATGAGCACCTCAGAACAGTTGCTCAGTTCATCATGAAGAAAAACTTAAAACACCCTGGTATCAGTGTTTGTAGAAAGCTAAGACTATGAATAAGTGAATCTCCTTTGTTTGGTTTGGGTTTTTAATCTTTTTTTTTTTTTTTTTTTTTTTTTTTTTTTTTTTTTTTTGGAGGGAGGTGTCTTAGTCAGTGTTCTACTGCTGTGAAGAGACACCATGACCACAGCAACTTTTATAAGAGAAAGCATTTAACTGGGGCTGGATTATGTTTTAGAGGTTTAGTTCATTATTCAGTATTGTCATGGCAGGAAACATGGTGGCACTCAGGAGGAAATGGTGCTGGGCAGGGAGGCGGGGACAGGGAGTGTAGCTGAGAGTTCTACATCTGGATCCACAGACAGCAGAAACAAAGAGTGAGCCACTGGATCTGGCTTGAGCATCTGAAACCTCAAAGCCCACCCTCAGTGACATATTTCCCCCAGTAAGGCCACATGTCCTAATCCTTTCACATAATGGCACTCCCTATGAACTTACGGGGGTCATTTTCATACAAACCACAACAGAGGTGTTTGTTTCTCTATTTGGAATGTATTTATTTTTGCTTCATTTCTCATGCTAAAAGATTCTGGAAATCCAACAATCCAGAGGTCCCTGCACCTCAGCTTTCCCACAGCCATGCTCTGGCCTAATGTTTCCGTATTGTCCTCTCCTTTCTTGCCCTCCATGAGCAGCATTCAAAATATGACCGTAGTTCCTCTGATTTTATGGCACCCTAGTCCAGGTTGTCACAACACTCACCAACACAATGATGACAATCACCTAAGTACCTGTTCTTCCACTTGGCTTTGATTATGCCTTTTCCTACAGGAGAAGTGTTATTTGCTTCAGTTTGTTTCAGGGAAGAATGCAGCTAAGAGACCCAGGCAGGCTTTGAACTCATATTTTTGGTGACTCAGCCTCCTCAGTGCTGTTTTACAGGCATGTGCTATTAGTTCTGGGTTGTTTCTTTTGATTTTCCTCCCTTGAGCATGTAGCTCAACCCTGTCTTAAATGTCTTTATTCTCTACATGCAGGTCAGGGACTAGAAATCTAAGAATGTGAAGCCACTGAGAGGAGTCTGGGTAAATCCCTCTTCCTGCATGATGACAATTCTCCCTGTTGCATTCTCCTCTGGCCTTCCTATGTGTGTGGGAGAAAGGAGAGAGGAGGTCAAGAAGTCCATTTGCATGTACCTTCTAAGAGAACAGAAGTTCTATGGGATTAGAGTTCCACTTGTATGATTCCACTTAACCATAATCACTCCATACAGACTCAAAAATAGTTGAACTGAGGAGTTTGAGTTACTGAAGATCAGCTACAATTCAATCCATCACGGTTGGAATCCCTAAGGTAGGTGACACACAGGCATACAGACAGATGGCAGACATTGACAAATGATGATCTAAATACACTATCTCAACTAATGAAGACTAAGGAATTAATAATGGCCTAGTAAATGACTGTGGGGGGCAGAGGACACCCAAGTGTGTAAGGTCCTGACTGAACATGTGTCATTAACATGGGCATGACCACATCAAGGACCCTAGCTTCAGATACAGAGGAGAATGGCAAAGTCTTGTCTTCTGGTTCATGTGTAGATGCTGATAGTGTGTATAGAAAATATCCACATAGCTCCCCCAAGAAAATTAGATATTTATGGCCTGAAGGCTGTTTGCTCCCTATATAGACTGTTCCTACTAAGATTAGCTAAACATATCTTTTTGAGCCAGCTGTATACTATAAGCCCTGGGGCCTTATCTGTATGTAATGATCCTGCCTCCTTGTTCAGCTGTATGAAATAATTTGCCTCCCTGTTCAACAATATATAACAAATATGCTGAACTCCTGGGGTGCTGCAGTTTCTTCAGCAGAGATCCCAGTCCACCTGACCCAGCTTTTCTGTTCATATGTCCATATATCTGTCTTTTCTCCTTTCCCTATTCAGGTCCATCCCTGACACCTAACAGCAAGGCCATCACTTTTCTATGCTGTGTTCAAATGAATATATTTCCTTCTATTCCATCTCTCAGAGCTTTTCCTTTTGAGGCTTGCCAATAACTCAGCCTCGGCAATAATGTTGCCTATTTGCAAGTTCTTCCAGCCTTGGTCTTAGCCGATAACAATGATCTCACACTGCAGACAGTGTGAGTGAGAATGTTCAAGAGACTTTCCTACTCTACTCTCCTATTGCTCATCAGCCTTGTCCAGCGCCCCACTCTCCCCTGCAGCTCCAATTGTTTCCAATCCTTTCCAAATATCCAAAACCCAGCAACAATAAAACAAGATTCTTAATAATTGTCTCTTTTCACAGTTGTTGCTGCCAACTTAGAAAACTTCCCGTTTCTTTCTTACTGTACATTTTGCAGTGAAGAATCTTCCTCTGACCTGGAGAGATGCCTCAGTTGGCAAACTGTCTACAGCACAAGCATAAGGACCTGAGATTATATCCCTGCCTGGGTAGCCATTTCCTTCCTATTTAAGCATTCCATCCTATAGGGAAGCACTTTAGGACAGAAGGTAAATAACCCAAAATAGCTTCAGCAAGTCCATGAAACTGAGCAGATTCACTAAGCTCCTCCCTCCCAAGAGTAAACAATAAAGACTGCTGAGAATCACTCTCCTCAGATGAGCCCAGCTGCAAAGAAGACTCTGAGGCCAGATTGACTGCCTGGAAGAAGCAGAAACTAGCCCAGCTGCTGGGGGAAAAGGCTTAGATCAACTGAATAAATTGAAAAGGACGCTCTCCAAACTGTTGAATGGCCTATTGGCCAAGAAGTGTGCTCCAGGTTCCCAGTTTTTGTGAGCTGTCACCCATGCTAGGATGGGCTTTGGTGATGCAACTGACTGAGTCATTTCTGTTCCTGTTAGTTATCCCTGACCTATATTCCTATAATTAACCCCAATAAGACTAATTAGATCACCAGGTTGGACTGTGATGTTATCAATACTTTGGTCTGTCATGGGCTCCATATCTGGGGTAAGTAGACATGTGTCCTGTAGGTCTTTAGGAAAAGTCTTGACCAGTATGAACATAAAAAGGCACACATATATAACCTCACCAGTGGGGATAAGAATTTGTGCTGAGACAGATCCACAGAACTCATTGGCCAGCCACTGAATGGCTTTTTCAGTCCAATATTCCAAAATCCTTCCACAATCCTCCCAACACAATTTGATCAGGTCTGTCACAGCAATAACCCACTATTGTGGCACCAATTTCTGTATTATTTATGGTTTCTATTGCTGTGATAAAACATCATGACC